TAAAAATATTTTATTAGCTAACAAGAAAATAAAAAAAGATTTTTAAAAATTAGTACTTAAAAAAAATTATTTTTAATTCCGTATATTTTTTTCTAATGAATGATTACCTGTCACAAACATAGATAAAAAGAAGTGTTGATTTAATAATGAATCGTATTGTAAAGATTTGTTAATACTTTAAGATTGGATAATTGTGTAGAAAGATCATTCAACTTTCAAGTTCAACTTTGAAGCGGCCACGAGGGAGATCAAAGCGCTACTTTACAGGGCACTGAGGAGCAGGCGGTAAATAAGTCTTAGGAAAGTTCAATCAATTTTTTAAAGTTTGTTTTTCTAATCTTTAATTTGTTTAAATATATGTATATATATATATATATATATATATATATATATATATATATATATATATATATATTTATAGCCAAATCAAGGATCAGATCGTACAACTTAGGATACAGAAACCTTAGGCCCACCCACCTTGGTCTTCTGTGATCTAAGTCTTTGCCGATGACTTAGTTTTATTCGCAAAGAATTGCAGAAACCTCCAATTCAACATATCCAATATTCCAATGGAATAAAAAAATATATTTAAAAAAACTAATCTCTCTCTCTATATATAGAATAACTAATAAAATAATTTTATTGTTATAATTTTAAAAATTTAAAAGTTATTTTATTATAGTACAATTTTAATAACTTTTTCTCCCAGAATCAAAAACCATATTTTCTGTAAATAATTTTTAGTTCGAATTTTTGGTAAAATTAACAGACCTTTTAATTTTTTTTTAAATAGAAGTTCTGCTAAGCCCTTACTGTTATATTGCAAGGGGAAAAGTTCTAGTTACAAAATAACAGAAAAAATAAATTGAAGACAGAGATTTCACTAATGCCGAAATTAATTAAATATAAAATCAAAATTTCGTTTGAAGTTTTAGAAAGGATAGCATTTTGTGAATACTTGTCTATGATGATTATGGTTAACATTGGAAACAAAGACTTAATTACAACCATAAAGAACTTACAGTCATATAGTAATATATTAATGTACATACTAACTCATATTTAATGACTGTAATTGTAAAAACAAATGCACTTAAAAGATATACAAATAAATTTAATATTGATTAAACATAAATTAGTAAACAGTATATATATTAGTAAACACTATATACAAATCAGTGAAACAATTTAGTAGACATTATTTTTCTTAAGAATGAAAGTTAGCCGTGTTTGCCGGAGCCAGAAACTTTTCAGGACATCGGCTACTGTACTTTACTATAGTATAATATTTATAATACTATATTATATTTATGACCCTTTATTATTAATTATCCTATCTTATATTATTAATATGATATATTTATGACCCTTTATTAAATTATTAATATATATTTTTTTTTATGCGAGACACAAAAATCCTGCAAGACAACGGCTAATATACTGTATTATACTATATAATATACAATACTATATTATATTTATAATTATTATTTTTAAAATTATTTTGCCTTAAAACAGATCGAATTTTGGGAATGTTGGACAGCTCTAACCTAGAAGGCTCAGGGTGGCTTCATAAGCCTCTTTAGGCTCGTCTCATAACCTTGTATTTTCTTGTAATAATTTAAAAACAACTATATCCAGAACAAAATTTGAAGAAAAAATCATATTGTCAATTATTACCAAATTATTATTTATCAACAGGAAAAAAAGAGTAATAATTATAAAAATAACCTTGAGTTAATTGATACCAAGGTTTCGATTCACTTCGTTCGTTTTTTTCTTCCTCTTTTGGTACGATTATATATTTATAAACAGATGCATATATATATATATATATATATATATATATATATATATATATATATATATATATATATATATATATATATATAATAGTTTTATATGAATAATACTATATGAATGTGCAATATGTATATAAAGAAATACAAAAAAATAATAAATAGTTGTATAACTATATATATATATATATATCTAATTTTTAAGGATTTCCTTATTTGTTTTTGTCTTTATATACATTTTTTTTATTAAAAGTATGAACAAATATTTATTATATATATATATATATATATATATATATATATATATATATATATATATATATATAAAGTTATACAACTATTTATTATTTTTTTGTATTTCTTTATATACATATTGCACATTCATATAGTAATATATGAATTAACCAATTTACCCATTGATGTATTTTTTTTTTAAAGAATGAATGAATTCTTTATTTAATGCATCAAAGGAACTGCCTATGAAATGAAATATATTAAATATTATAGATCATACATAATGTGAATAGCACTCATAAATTAATAAAAAGTATATATAAATTAGAAAAAGAATTTTCCAATACGGATTAATAACAATATAAATATATATTATGGTGATCGGTAGCTAAATGTATACTTAAAAGCATTTGATATTTATTATACGTTGTATTTATATATTCAGAAATAATTTTAATTAGATACCCTAAGGTATAAAAATACATTATTTAGATAAAGGGAAATAAGAACGAAATATCGAGTAGACAAACAGAACAATACATTTTTACTCCTCTTCTCACTCTCCATTCTCTTCCTCAAGAAAGAAAATTAGCCGTATTGGCCGAAGGGAGAGATAAAACTCCTTCAAGACGGCGGCTAGGCGGTGGGGCTGGGCGTGGAGGTGTTGCGGGCTTAGCCTAGCGCAGGCGCCGGGGGCGGGGCCCGGGCGGGGACACGCCCCCAGAACCCCCCGCGGCCCCCGGGCCGACTCGCCCGCTGCACTTCGGGGGCACAAAATGTCTGCCTCGCCTTGCGCATGTCCGCTCCAAATCCGATCCCGATACCATTTTCATACGTTTCGATGGGCACATACCCATGCCAGAGCTCTCCTCTCTTGCTAATTGCGTATTTCCAATATAAAAACTATTGCGTACACGTTAGTTAAGTTTGTTTCTTGGGACCGGGTTGTTGACAAGGTATAGTAAAACTGTTTTATTCTCTTTGTCTGTATTTTTTTCCCCCTTCCAAATTGTTTCAAAAACAAAAATCCACCTTTCTATATGTTTGTGTTGGATGTTTAGTTGTCTTAAAAGTGTAGAAGTAATTTGTTGAAATCCCCTTCTCCCCAAAAAAATTTACCTTAATTTTGGAATTTCTTCTTTAACCCAAAGTATCTTCTCTAAACTCTTAAATAAAGAGAATAATTTCAATCCCCCATTTTTTTTTTTTATTTTACAAGACAATGAATCAAATTTTATAATTAATATTAAATTACTTTGTAATATTTATTATTAAAATTTAATAATAGAATTAAATATAAAACATACTGCTTTGAAACAGATAAAATTTAGGTATTGACTGATAGCTTTAATTGAGCTCAGTGTGACGTCACCCCTTTAGCCTTGTCTTATAATTACATCCCTTTAAATAAAAAATAAAATATAAATAAATACATAAAACTATTATTTGTTGAGAATAAAATAAATTTATGAACAATATATATTTTTTAATTATAAAATAATTGACAATGTAACTATAAATTTAAACGATGGCGTCACGACGGAAAAAAATGGAAATAGATTTTTATTAATTATTTTTTATGACACTTATAGGGCTTGTAATATTTGTGTTAGTGTCGATGCATGCTATGGGTGCATGCTTAGTGCCTCATGCTATTGCATGAATTGGTGGTCCTGCATTTTATTTTTTAAATGCAAATTTCGATGTCTCTTGTTAGTAGTGTTAAAATAGTCGGTAGAGTTGTCCACTTTGTTGTAGTATATTCACTGGTTTAGATAATGCTAAAAGGGAATGTCCGTGACAAACATAATAGTATTATATTTAATAAGGATATAGTAAGGGTATTGTAGGAATGATATCATTAGGAAAGAAAGAGTTATTACACTTTTACTAGGATGAAATATATACCTCTATGCTTTAATTCCGTCATAAAAACATATATTTAACTAAAAAAAAAACTATCTATTCTAACCTTTTTTTAAATTAAATTAAATAAAAAATAAATATACAGTTACCTGATACACTCAGACAAAAATCTTCAAGAAAAGAGTACGATAAAAAAAAAATTCTTGTGTTTTTTTAAATTAAAGTTTTTATGATTATTGTAATACGATTTTAAGAAGATTTTAATTTTCTTCAATTTCTAATTATTATAACAATAAAATTAATGGTGAGTTTGATCCGTTAATTTTATTTATTTTTGAATTAAATAAAATAAAAAATAAATATAGAGTTACCTGATATTCACAAACAAAAAATTTGAAGAAGAGCGTATGGTAAATTCTGTTATTTTAAATAAAAGTTTATATAATTATTTGTATACGATATCAAGATGATTTTAAAGAAGATTTTAATTGCTTCTATTTTAATTATTTTAACAATAAAATTAATGGGGAGTTTGATCCGTTTATTTCAGTTCTTTTTATTTTTAAATTAAATACAAAATAAATAAAGAGGTACCGACCTGTGTTTCTCAGACAAAAGTCTTCAAGAAGCGCCTCCCTTGGAACTTGTGTTATTTTAAATTATTGTTTAAATAATTATTATAAAGTGACATTTAGATGTTTCTAAGAAGATTACAATTGTTTTAATTATAGTTATTTTTTTGTGTAAGAAGTGAGAGTAGTTTATTGCATTATCGGTTTAAGTTTACGTTTATTTCAGTGCTGAGGTATATATTTCAGTTTTAGATTTTAGTGGGGTAGTTGTATTATGAGGTTCGGAAGTAAGAAGGTAAATTTCTATTGGAGTAGTTATGTTTTGTATAATATATAAAATCATACGAATAATGGCGTAACTGCGTGAGAGAGGTGTAAAAGATGCGGACTTAGCCGTGCAGTAGAGGAGCGACTATTAATAGCGTGCGAGAGGAACAGCGGTGCGTGCGGGGGGCGGGGGGAGGGGATGGGGGAGGAGAGAGGGGGGAGGTGCGAGGGAGGGGGAAGGGGTGCGTAGCTGCGTGCCCCAGTCGGTCATAGAAAGCGAAAGCCAGCGGACCACCTCCGGTCAGCTCCGACACTTCGTCATAGTTTCTCTTATATCGGACCTTTTAGTTGTTGTATTCTCGACGCACTCACAGTGCGAGGGCTGAGTGCACCGGTATGTGTTCATCTGCGTCCAACAAATAAAAATTTATATTTAAATATAAATAGATTATAATAATATAATTAAACTATTCGAATTTAAAAATTGTTGACTAGTTGTTAAAAAAAAAAATCCTGATGCAGTACAAATAATTTTCGATAGTTTCAACGTAATCTATTTTACACAATTGCTTTTCTAACTTTAATGACCGGCACTTCAATCCAGAAAAAGTACAAATTCCACCCGACTCAGGACTTAGATGTGACGGATAAGATGGCGCCACGAAGGAACAACCTGAACGAGGTGGTGGGCCTGGAGGCGGAGCCGGAGGCGGTGGCCCGCTGCTGCGTGCCTAGCGAGTGCCTCAGGGGCGGCGCCCTCATCCCCCTCGACGATCTTCGGGACACGGTCAGGGTCACCTGCAACAACGACTCCTGCCAGGCCAAGTACATGCACAGGGAATGCTTCGACTCCTGGGAACAGAGTGTCCTCACGTATCTCAAGTCTTGCGGCAGGGCGAGATCCTGGTCGGAGAGGCAGAGGCACCAGAACCTCTGGACGAAGAAGGGCTATGATCTGGCCTTCAAGGCGTGTGGATGTCGTTGCGGTCGGGGGCACTTGAAGAAGGACTTGGATTGGAGTCCGCCGCCTCCGGGGTTCGGTGCTAGGGAAGACGAGATCGCCAAGAAGAAGAAGAAGAGGAACAAGAACCGAGGTCTTCAGCAGCATAACGGTGGAGGGCAGATCGTCAGTCCGATAGATCCCAGGATCAGGACTGGAAGTTTGTCTTCGTCGACGGAGTCTTCCTCGCCTCCAGCTTCGGCTTCTTCCATCTCGCCGATCCACTCCGGGGTCACCCTGAAGAGGCTGAGCAAGACCAAGATCGAGTTCTTCTCAGACAGGTAGATTATTACATTATAATGTATTTGTGAGCTGGTTTGATGCAGAGTTGAAGTCCCCGGCACAGTGGCCCAGAGAGCCATCCTCCCTCTTTCACTGACCCAGCTTCTCCTCTCTAGCCTGCTTCACTTTCCAACAGCTTTATTTTATCAATTCCTTTATTATAAAGTAATTTCTGCATTCTGCTTTCATGCCTTAACGCTTTCAAGTAAAAAAAAAGACATTTTTACTTTCTATACTGTATAATTATTATTTTTTGTTGGCTTACTGATATGTTTTATTTTTTTTCGCCTAGCTAAGTACTTTTTTGGCTTGAAAAAATTAAGTAAATAAACATTTTTATCGTTGCTTTACTGCAACAAGTCACCAAGTATTTAAAATGAAGTTTTATTTTGTGAATTTCGTTCTTATTTATCGATGTAAGGACAAAAAGTGCAGGAATTGACAGAAATCCTTTTATCACAGAGGAAGGTTTTAAAAACGAATCACTTATTATTAATCAAGCTTATGACAGACCGCTTAATATTAATAAATATTCAGATAGAGCACCATATCCATCCATTTAAAGAATAACGTTAAGATACAAAAATAAATTTTATACATAATATAATATCTGATCATATATTTTTACGCATACTAATAAACATATCTTGATTTATATCTTTACTCTGTTATTACTCAGTATCAATATTATCATATACTTTATATGATATCTGCTTCCTAATCTGGTGGTGAAAAATGGTACTTGATAATAAATAAATGAAATGAATATATCGTGGGATCATTGCAAAAAGTGACATTTCCCAATCTTCAATCACTAAGAACTTTAATGAGTTTTTCTTTGTAAAATCTGAAAGTTGTGCGCTTCTTGTAAATAATTTTAATATATAAAAGGGTTTTTGTACATTTTTTTCATCGATAAAAAAGGGGGAAATTAAACAAACGTTCTTAAAAGTTCAGCTCTATCAAAAATAGATTTAGTGACTTTTTGCTAAAAACAGACGATAAACAAATAGCAATTCTTCATTTCCTTCGAGTTATTACTGAAATATTGACCACATTGGTTTGATCACATTATAAAAATATATATCCTCGGTTTATTGCAAAATGTTTTTAAGTAAGTTTTTGATGGAGCGAAACATTTTTTTTGTGAATTTCGACCCTTAAACTGGATATAAAAACACATTAAGTGTGCCAAATGACATCTATATTACATATCGAATTTAGTTGCACTAAGTGGAAAACGTGATTTAAAGTACTCAGTGATTTAATTTTATTAAATTTTACTTAATGCATTTTTGTAATAAACCTACGATGAAATGTATTAAAAGTTTACGAAAAAATCTTACCAATTATTTTTTTAAGACTTCGATCTTAGTTTTTTGAAGGCCATTTATTATTACTAATTATTCAGGTGGGATAGGATATCTATCTCTATTGAATAACATTAAAAGGAAAAGAAATATAAAACATTTTTTTATATAATATAATATAGTTGTTTTGTCCAACCATAACCATAACTGACTTTAAATCATTCTGTTATTAGGAACGTCTTGGATTTTAGCATCAAGAATTAATGCTATGGCATAGGAAAAGCAATTTTTCTCTGAGACAGAATAACAGTGGTGTATAGGAAACAATAGATTACTTCTGGTCATAATAATTTAAAATTATAAGTATGTTCATAGTTATTAAAGATATTCTATATAAGTAAAATTCAATGACATCCAACCTGAAAAAATTAATTTCATCTAAAATATATAGCATTCTTAGCTAAGCCAGTTGTAATGTCCTGTAATTCTAAATTCTAAATACTAAATGAAACTTAAGATATCATTAAAACATTAAATTGATCAGACCTGCGTTTTTTCTGTCGAAATATTTGTATAAAAACTAAGGAGAAATTTTTACTGTACATAAGTCAGTAAGAAAAATTGTAGTGTAAAATATTGTTTTGACATTTCTGGTCAAAATTAAATTAGCATAAATTTCGAAATTCAAACAAAAAACAAATCCTTAAAATCATCAATCGATATTTATCTTCATGAAGTAAAAGTTGTGTAGGAAATCTGGAGCTTATATGAAAAAAAACAACGAAGTTTTTCATCTCCTAAATACTTTTGATTTTTGCAACGAAGCTGTCGGAATGTATTTTTTTTTACCTCAAAATTATTCATGTTGTTGTTTTATTTACAGTTATACTTAGGTTTATTTGAATATATTTTGCGAATTTCATCAACTGGTTAAATAAGTATACGTATTTTTATTTATTTTTTCTCCTAGCCTAAAGTAAACCTTGAGGTTTATACGTGTGGAAATCTGTTTTTTTAAAATCTGTATCTCGATTGATCACTTGTAAATCTTTGAAATACCAAAGGTGTTTATTCAAAACTATGGTTTTCTAGAAAACATTTGTCTATGTATAAAAACCTAGAAGAGGTTTATGCTCAGTCAAAGAAATAAATTGTAAAAAAAAAAATATCACGTTTATTTTCTATCCGGCAATTGATGTTGGCCGTCTATTTACTGTTAAACGTAGCTTTATTCAGTCTTTTTTTCTGTGCTTGCAGTTTATTTCTTGTTTTATTTATATTTTTTATAAATATATTTGTTTTTCTTTAAACGTTATGTAAATATTTAGGTTTGTTGATGATTGAATAATTAATTATGACTCAGAATAAATCTCAACATTTTAAGCATTATTTCGCTTTATTGTGAAAGTATAAGAATTTTTTAGAAATCCATTTATAATATAAAATTAATAAGGATTACTGAGTTTTTTTAAGTCAAAGTTGTTAAATTTCTTATCGTTTTTCTAAAGAATAAAAATCAGTATTTCAAACTATTTGTTTACTCAAAACTTGTTATGATTATATGCAAAAAGTAATTAATCTGTAAAAAAAAAATGAATACAATATTGACAATTTTATATATTTTGGTTGAAATTTCTTTTACTCAGAGATTGTAGTTGAATCTAATATGCAAGAGCTGCAGTTGTATCACAGAACTTCTAATACATGCATATGGTAAAATTAGTCTCGTGCATGCACATAGTAATATGCATCGACATGCACCCTTTTACATATAGCGTTTGCATGAATGTTGCCTTTTTTTTAAAATAAAATTTAGTTGCAATTTTTCGTTTAAAGTTTGTAACCAGTTATGTTCTTTTTTCTCATTCCGTAGTTATTGCTGCATCATTCGACAGATTTTAAGTAAAAATATGTTATAGGCTAAAATTACTGGATAATTTTATAAAAGACGTTCTAAGCAAAAGAAAACTCAATTTATTATTTTTATCATTATTAAAATAAGTTATAGTATTTTTTAATATATCAAACCACAGTTATATAAATTATGCATTTTTAAAGAAAATATGAAATAATTAATAAATTAAAAATAATCCAATATTTTTCGGTAGATTTTTATAACGTTATTTGCATAATATGAGTAATCCAGTATTTGTTACTATTAGTTGTTATTTTAAATACAAATTATTTGTCTATTAAAACTAAGTAATGTCCTCCAAAACTAACATTAATGACCAGAAAGCATCAATAAAGTTATATTAGTCAAACCTGTTTAAAAAAGTTATAACATTCAACTTAATTGATTACTTGTTTGCCTTTTGAGTCCAGAAAATTCTATAGAATTATTAATTAATTTATTAATATTTATATATATTTGTCCTTTAAATATGTATCAGTAGATTTTACCACAAGAAAGATGATTTCATATTTTACTGAATTTGTAATCAGAAGGAGCCTATTGGGCTGGTATCCGGTAACTAACTTCAGAAAATATCGAATTATTGAGAAATTAATTTTATAACAAAAAAAATCTTATTTATATATAAATATTTAGTTATAATTATTCTTATTTCAACGTATGCTTTTATCAGAGTTTTTCTTGTAAGATACGGTCTAAAAAAAATTAATAATAATAAAACTAAATAGAGTATATAATAAACAAAATTAAGTCATACCAGTCGACAAATAATTATTACGGTAAAGAGACCGGTGTATCATTACTGTATAATAATATAGCATCTAAATCAGTAATAGAATAAATTTTGAATTTTTTTTCTTTATTTGATTATAAAGTTATTTATTAATATAGGGTATATCTTTGCTAATAATTATCCGATTTCTAATGTTTATTTATCGTTTGTTGGAAATTTTTATACATTTCAAATTATTAAGTAAATAATCCACCATAAATTATATACTTTATGTATTTGTAATATAGTAATTGCATACTTTTTGAGTCATGTGCACATAAAGATGTATTTTCTATATAATTTATAACTTAATAAAAATTAAGAAAAAAAAAAAAAGAATTTAAAAACTTGCTCTCTTGGTGTTGAATGATTCCAAGTACATTTTATTAATATTGCTGCTCCATAAATCACTAAATTATATCGATAAGATTTTGTTTATATTATTTATAAATAAACAAATAATTTTTTGCAGTACCCAGTTTGTTTTTTTGCAACAAAATATTAGTAATTTATTTTCCTATATTAATAGCCATAATATATAATATAAATTGATGAGATAAATGTATTTATTACTCTGGATTTTATCACAGATTTCCTGTCTTTATTCTAATCTGTAATGAATTCTTATCTTAAATCATTTTTAAAGCAGTAAGTATATTTAGATACCGGATGTGTATGTATGAATTTATTGTCCTTTGATGGGATTTAGTTTTTCATCTATTCATCAACAACTTCTATTTATAGAAGTTAAATGCCACTAATCTTTTAATTTTATTTATTAATTTGTGATTATTTCATATTATTAATTTAGTATGTATAAATATACAGCACTATGAAATGAATGTGTGTTGATAATAATAGATTTTTTTTTTTTTATATTTCAATAAGTCGAGTTCATTTTTTTTTAATTAACAAGAGAAATTGTAAATTATTTTATAATGAAACAAACCAAAAACACACACACACACATATAATATAATATTATAATTTATAAACACATTT